ATTATTATTATTATTATTATTATTATTATTATTGATATTGTAAAATCATTGCGGGTTCAAATTCTGGGCTTATGTAAGTTATATGAATATAATACTTAGTAGTTCATCAATTATAGAAGACAACATTGCTTACATTAGAAAGAGTATATCAAAATTGAATGATAAGAGCAAGCAAGCAAGCAAGCAAGCAAGCAAGCAAGCAAGCAAGCAAGCATCACCGTCATCAAAACCACTGACATCAGTGATTGTGAAATGCTCAATGCCACTTGGTGGCGAGTACAGAATTTAAAACTACGCCTACAGTCCTCTTTGTTTTTTCACAGCATCCCAGAACCTGATTATGCTCTTCGATGCATCATCAACAAATTTCATAGAGTGATTGTGAAATGCTCAATGCCACTTGGTGGCGAATACAGAATTTAAAACTACGCCTACAGTCCTCTTTGTTTTTTCACAGCATCCCAGAACCTGATTATGCTCTTCCATGCCTGTGTAAAGATCATCGAAGCAAAGCAACCTTGACACGACCTCAAGCTGTTTACGGATATAGCTATAAAGTTATATTAAATGCAATCAGTACGTTTAAAGACCAATACCCTTGTTTCCTACTGGGGGCACCCTGCTAGAAATTATGCTTGCTTTATTGTATGTGAATTACTTCAACTTCATCTTCAATTTGAATTTTATTCACACTTGAAATAATGATAATGATAATAAATTCAAGAACGTGGAATGCATATTTACAAAAGCAAAGCCTTAAGAGACGGAAAAAATATTTTAAAGTAAACGATGTAAATTATGTATCTTAGATATGTAGAGTGGACCACCCCCATAAACCGAACGGGGTATTTATAAGCAATCGGTTGTACAGTTCCGTGACGTTTTGATATTCTGGCATAAAGGCAAAATGCTTCAGGATTTAAGACCAGTCTTATTACAAAGAAGGAAAATGCCATTTTGAAATACTGTTATACAATACAATGCATGTGTTGTGAACCAGAAAGAATTCTATTGTTCAAAACCTGTGTTACAGAATGGCCATTCTGCACGAGTCAGCAAATGACGTCAAATAAAACCAGGCGATAAATTGCAACTCTAATGTTCAACTAAAGCTATGCCTTTCGCCCACGATATCCCGCTAAAATTATGCTTTTGGCGATGATGGCAAAACATTTATATTGAAATCAGAATCATTGACTCAAACTTTGGCTAAAATGCAGTTGTTTTAAAAGGAATAAAAATGACAATGTACAAGCTGAGGAAATAGCATTTCTTTTTGAAGGGTTTCTTCGGAAAAGTTTCCACAAGCTTGCGGAAATATCTTGAATTTAAGTACACTTAACTAAAGTAAGCTAAAGTAACCAGAAAAAATGTGTGGGTATGCTGCTTTACCTGCCGCTCGTTTATGGGGTCAGTCATCAATGAACAGTTACTCCGGTATTGGATCAAATTGGCTATGGGCAAATGACCATAGCCGTTTTAATAAATTTATGAAAATTTTTTTTAAAATGGCCAAGTATACTCGAGAAAATTCCATTTTGCGCGAGTGAAGTATAAGTTAGTAATCGTGAAACGTCCTTAATAATCAATATTCCATTGAATTTGGCATTATTCTATTCAAATTTTGTCTTCAAAATTTGTAAAGTATACGTTGTATAATGGAATGGAAAACAATATAGGTTACGTATTTCGAACTATTTGCAAAATGAGTGTGTGAATTTACTAATAGATCGTTCAAACGCACCTACAGACTAGCAAAACACTGGATAAGGTTTTAGGACAATCTTGACGTATTTAGCGTTTGAAATTTATAGCACTCAATCCTATTTTTCAAAAAACTTTACTAACCTAATTTTTTTGGGTTCAAATTCTGTTTAAACACTTAATGTATAGTTCAATTATTGATCTTTTATGCTAGAAATATTATATTAATTAAGAGATACTAGCATTGGAGATACTAACAATTTGTATCCTACTCTCCAAAATCCAAAGTATAATAAAGATTATGTATGTATTTAAAAATTTGAATCCATCCAAAATCATTAAAAATGCGTCTTTAATTTTCATCGAAAATAATTAATTTTTTGCGTGCGCGGGCATATTTGTGATTTGAGATTTAAAAAAGAAATATTTGAAAATGTAATCCTTAATTTTACTCGAAAAAGTTTTTTTTGCAGCGAAATACTGTTTGCGTCCGCGAATATTTGCGCTTTGAAATTAAAAAGGATAGCATGCCGAGAAAACCCCATCGAGACACCTTGTTAAAATGTTTGTCGTCATCAACAAATTATTGCACAATCTTGCTTGAACTTATTGGATGTTGGTTGTACTAGTCTTTTGTCAGTGAGAACTTACATATACGGTCCAATGCCGAACGAACAAAAGAAATAAGACCTTATAATCCGGATATCTTTTATACTATTGAAAAATTTTCTCATTATGCCAAGTCATATACTAAACAGCTATAAACGAAGATAGAAGTCATTTGTAGTAGAAAAACACAAGCACGGAAGAGCTCAGTGTGTTTTGATGAAGCTGAAAATGTTAGGGTACCACCGTCAATTGATGCTGTTTCTCGTCGCCATTACAGCACGATTCTGTACAGGTAATTTTCTTTTCGTTTACTGTTTTAAAACTTTTTCAATATTGTGTAGAAAAACATAAAATCAATCTTAACGACCGGATATTCTTTGATTATCAATTTCGCAAATGAACTTTTGATATTCTTAAACTCTTAAGCTGAAATTCTGTTTGTCAGGCACCATGAATGATAAAATAAATATTATTAGTCACAGAAATGTTCGTATCAAATCGTAATACTCGTACTATTTTGATAACGGAATAGGTTTTATGCAAACATCTTTATCTAACCTGTTAAGACACAACACCGAATTTGGATTTTATAAAGCTACTTTAAGTATTATCTTTTAGACACATATTATTGCGAACGTTTATCGTGACCATATTTCGTGAAGCGAATTTCATTTTTCAAAAAGGTATTAAGGAATTAGCAATGTGTATTCTTTTGGTTAAAAACCATAGCTACATCATTGTAGAATGATGTCTTATAGATCGGAATGTCGAAATGTGATTTTTAGAGGGGAGGAAGAGAGGAAAGGAAAGCCATGACTTCTTGGTCTTGTGTAAATGTGCTACACAAGTTGGGCGCTCGACAGTTGGATCAATCATATTTCAATATTGAGCCAGTAAAGCCGGGCTTTACGGATCAGTTTCTAGGTGTTGCAAGGCACCTGAAGCATAAAGACAATAACACAATAGTCAAGGATAATGAATTTAGAGCTAAACAAAACGTACCTGACACTAGAGAAAAACGTTTGCGCATGCGTGGATTTCAGCAAGTTTTCTAAGAATTTTGAAGAGTTTGAGTGAGAAAATAAATGTTTGTTTTCTCCAAGTATACAAAAAAGTTCGAGAGTATACTTTTGTAAGATCAAGTTACTGTATTAACAAACACAATAGGAGAGAATTGCCCTTAAGTTTCAAGCATGGACACTAAGTTTTGGCATTTTGTGAAGTCCAATTTATCAGGTATGTTTGAAAGTCAAATTTACAAATGTTTTGACTAATTTGCATAAGGATTTAGAGTATGCGCAGGCGTTTTTCACTCGTGTCTACGTACCTGCAAAACAAAAACCCTATAACCCAGAAAACGATAAAGATTGCCACACTAAAAAAAGTTTGGCCTTAACATTCGTAAAACAGATTTGTTAGTTATTTGCTTAAAATGTACCATTCCATTAGGAAAACTGCTAGACTGTGATTGGTTCTTTGAGTCCAAACCATCAAAGGGTTGAATATATTCCCACGATTCTGATTGGTTGATCTGGTATCATATATGTACATGCAAAGGTTTAACCATGACCTTGCTGGCTTCTAGTTACGAGGCTCAGAAAATTGATACCGTCATGAATAAGTAAGAGATAATGAACGGACGCCAATCGTATAAAGCATTTTATTGCGAAAGAAGCCTCAAGACCTCTGGGTGAAGCAATTGTAAATCCTTTTTTTGAGGGGCCATTCATTATCCAGTGATCATAGGCAAAAATTAAAAGTTATAAAAAACTAATCGTAAATTAAGTGTTTTTCCAAAGTACAATTCATGATTTACCATTAAATGTTAAAAAAGGATTTATAGAACTACATTACTAGCTATATATTCAGGGGCGTATCCAGGAAGAGGGGGGTGGGGGGTCACAGGGTGCCCGTGACCCCCCTTTCAAACCCCAAAAAAATCTATGATATGTGTTGGTAATTAATTAACATATCTTTTATTGTTTCGGTCTACAGAACGCTTTTTGCTTCAATTATAGCGGTGTACGTTGTTCTGTTCCCCTCTATCGACCATGATTCTTATCCGTCAAAACAATAGATTGCTATGACGTCATATTGACGTCAAATGACGTCATAGTGACAATTTGGTATGTAAGGACCCCTCCCAATAACAAATCCTGGATACGCCCCTGATATTATATATTGTTATCCTGGGTGAATATTGTTTTCCAGTTCCTTTATTAATGTCTACAACCTATATATCTTTTGTTCCATTAGGATTTGATTTTGAATGCAACTTTGACAGTGATGCTTGTGGGTTTCAACAAGTTAGAAGCTGGGGCAACACTGGTCTAAATGGAGACCATAAAGATTGGACTAGAGCTAAGAGTTCCGAACCAGTTCGTTATAGTGGACCTGCGAGGGACCATACATCTGGGAGCGGTATATATAGCATAGCATCTATCTAGTAGTGATAACTGATTTTAATTCATCCATGCATCCATGCATCCATCCATCCATCCATCCATCGAAATACTTAATCTCATAGTCTATCTACCTTTCTTGCAGGGTATTACATGGTATTTGATGTATGGGCATTTCGAAGCTTTGGAGCTAGGGCTATCATATACAAGCAGATCACAGTAACAAAAAGTAACACCTGGATCTCTTTTTGGTATCACATGTTTGGCTTTTCGGGTATGGGAGGCCTTAGCGTGTATGCTGGTAATACAGCCATTTTCGCTAAGAATGACAATCAAGGAAATGGTTGGAAAAAGGCTGAGATAAAGCTTGATGTTCTTGGTTCAGTAAAAGTAAGATATTATCTCAACTGTGTAGGGAATTTGTTTTGATGATGATGGTGATGGGGGTGGTGGTGGTGGTGGTGATGATGATGATGATGGTGATGGGGGTGGTGGTGGTGGTGATGATGATGATGATGATGGGGGTGTTGGTGGTGGTGGTGGTGATGATGATGATGATGATGGGGGTGGTGGTGGTGGTGATGGTGATGAT